GCTCAAATAATTCCTCATTTTCGATAATTTCTTGTGGCTTGACAAATGAAGGGTGGAATGAAAGAGCGAAAGAATGTTGTATCACGATATTGGATTAATACTCAGTATATTATTTTACGAAAAAATAAATTGTATAGTCACCCTAAATAAGCACATCATATTTATAAGCATGCCTCTTTATCATCACAAGCATAATAGTACCTCTTTATAATCACAAATAGTATCTCTTCTTAATAAGCACATTTGTTTCAAAAAAACCACGATTGCGTGATATAATTTATAAAGGCATGGAAGATCCATGGAATAAATTAAGTAAAGCATTGGTTTTACTTTCTATCCAATGCGAAGAAAGAATAATAAGCGTGATTTTCTGATAACATTCAAAACCACGACTTTCTGCCAACTAGAATCGTGGTAACTTATTCTTTCGAAGGAAGGTAATTAGTTGATTCTTCCTTTTCGCATGTTTCACGTGATTCCTGCGCCTCCTATTTGTTGCTAGCTATAATTTGAACAATATGTAGAATTTAAGTTAATCTATATTGTTTTTTAAAATTATTCGTTTATATTGTAATTGTCTAAAAAGGAAATGATCGTTAAAAAAGAATGTTTTATATTGTATTTTGGGGAGGGAATGAAAAAATTTTGTCGCATTGACACGCAGTTAAAATCTGGTTCAAAAGTTGCATGACCATACGTAAACAATTGATAAATGCAATTCGGATTATCCGAATCTGAGATTTGCACAATGTTTAATAAATAAACTTTCATAATCAAGTTTTTACTCTTGATTTCGGATTTATTTTAAGATGAATTTAGAATTTAGGAAGGATTTAGATGTAGGAATTAGGATAAACAAAAAAAAAAAAATTATTATTAATATTTTTTCACAGATTCTTTCCGCAATTTTCGCATTTTTTTTTTTTTTTAAAAAAAAAAAATGACATCAAATTCCACATGTTCTACAGCACTCACTCATGCTTTAGTATTAAAATTTTTGGAAAACAATAATTATGTAAAAACCTTGGAATCCTTTCGTCAAGACGCACAAGAAATTATCGAAAATGAGGAATTATTTGAGCAAGATAATGAATATACCAAAAAACCATTAATGGCAATCATTCAGGAATATTTAATGAATCAACTACAATCTAATATGGAAAATATGTCGTTAGAAAGGTAAAATTTTCACCCAAAATTTGCTTTTTTTTAAACCATTTTTTTTTTTTTTTTTAAAAAAAAATTCCTAACGTTTCTTTCCCTATCGAAATATTATAGAATTATTGATGATGATTTGATTACACCGGGAAATAATGAATATCCTCGATATCTTTGCGAATCATTCTCACAAATCCATATCAACAACATTTTAAGTGTACGGTTACAAACACTTTCAATTAGAAGTTTTAATAATGGAGAGTACCAATTCTCGGAAATTCCTACCATAATTACCGGTTCAGCGGATAAATCTATTCGTTTAACATCATTGCTCACAGGAGATACATTTAGCATTTGTAATGATGTTCATAAAGGCGGAATACTTTGTCTGGATTGTCATCCAATTTATAATCATTTATTGTTAATAGGATCAATGGACTCAACATGTACGTTAATAAATGTTCATGCAATGAATGTAGTACAAACATTTAAAGATCATACGAAATATGTCGTCAGATCAAAATTTTCAATGGATGGAAAAATGATCGTGACAGCATCTTATGATCATAAGGTTAACTTTTACAAGGTTGGAAATGAAGAAATGTTATCACGTACTTCATTAACCCCTAATACATCGAATACAACTTTACCAAGTTATAATAAGATTCATTCGATAACCTTTGTTGGAAATATTGAATCCATGTGTTTCTTACCGGACAATCAATATTTGGTCGTTGGTGTACGTGGTGATAATTACCTTCATTATATTAATTTATCGAATTTTATCGATAAAAAATATAATATGAATAGTAATGGTGATGATTGGGTTTCATTTACTCCAATGGATATTTCCCCTTCTCCACAGAATCACGGAAGATATCTTTTGGTTTCAACTGATGATGAAAATGGTAGAATCATTTTGTTTCGCACTCATTCTTCTCAACAGGTTTTCAACTTTTATGATTTGGAAGTCATCCCTGATAGAAAATTAACTAATCCTAGACATTGTTGGCATCCCAATGGAAAATATTTCTTCACTTTTGGTGTAGATTCCATCATCAGAATTTTTGATGTTGCCACTAAATCTATTGTTCATAAATTGGAAAGTCATAAGGATGTAGTTAGAGATCTATGGTTTGATCAATATAGGAATTTATTAGTTTCTTGCGGTTTCGACAAAACTGTTAAAATTTGGAGAGTTGACGACGTGGGTCACGATAATACCAATGGAATGAGCATGTGAAAGAGAAATATTAATCACATTTCTTATTTTATTTAAATAAATATTGTTTCATGTCACTTCAAATTTTCTTAATATCAACACTTCCATCTTCATTACCAAAGTAAGCCATTTTAGTCATATTAACGAATAATCCCACTTCAACTACACCAGTCAATAATTTGATCTTTTCCAATAATTCTTTGGGTTTCTTGATTAATCCGAAATACGCATCAATAATAAGATTCCCGTTATCACTTATAACAGGTCCTGCCTTTGATTTTGCCATACGCAACACAGGATTTTCACATCCCAATCTTTTTAATGATGGTATCACCAGCATATAAGCAAATGGGATAACCTCAATTGGCACTCCTTGTTTCCACTAGCAAAAAGGGAGAGAAAGAAATCTTTTAAAAAGAATATAAATAAATTTGACAATGGTTTAAATAAATAATAACACTTTACTTTTTCCCCGAGGGTGCTAGATTTCTTAGAATAATCTGCTACTATTACAAATTTTTTCGCCGCTTCTGCTACCACTTTTTCTCGAAGATGACATGCCCCTCCTCCTTTGATCGCATTCAAATTCTCATCAACCTATCATTAGCAAGATTTCATGGTTTTATTATTAACAACACAAATAGATAAATATCTTAAATGATACAATTACCTCATCGGCTCCGTCAATTGTCACATCAATTTTTGAATATCTACAAAAAAAAGAATCATTATTAAAAAAATTTTGTTTTAATTAAAGGAAAAAAGAAAGATCATGATAAATTACTGATCAATATCTCCCAAATTTAATCCACCTTCAATAATTAACAGTCTACTTTGAAAACTAGTCGGTACAAATATACATTCTTTGTTCACCAAATTACCACGTTGTAATATTCTTTCTATTACGTATACCACCGTGCTTCCTGAACCTATTCCGATAATTTTACTTTCGCTTGTAATATTTTCGTCTACTGCTTTATATGCTGCTCGTCTTTTTGCATCATTCAAAGAAGACATTTTATGCTAGGGAAAAGAATGTTGTTGCGTCACCATCTTATCCGAATTGTGGGACGCACAAAATGTTGCACAATCGAAATTCAAAAGTCGCAAAAATCACAATCATTTATTAAGAAATACAACTTTATTTAATTATATTTACAGTTGACATCTTTTGTCTTTAACTTTGGTTACCATTGTCCTATTTTAATTATTATATAGAAACGTCATTCTTATTCTTATTATGGTAAATGCAAATGAATGGTTTAATCAAAATTATCCCGCAAAAGGTATATGTCAGAGGGTGGATGATAGAGAAAATTATGGTAAAAGAAGGGAGGAAATCATTAATTTAGATATTAGTAATCAAAATTTAGAAGGTTACATAGGTGGTCCGGAGTTTGTAGGAACAATGGAATCTTTCTTTTAATGAAATAAGCGGTGGTATTCTTGGTGACATAAATAAATTGGAAGTAATTGATTATTCTCACAATCCACGATTGGTAGGTTTCGGATTATTTAGGCCGTTCCCTCAACTCAGAAAAATAAACATTTCTCATAGTAATATAGTGAAAGTTGTAATGGCAGCAGTTCCTCGTCTTAGTCATTTTGACGTTAGTGGTAATTCGCTTGCGACTTTAGACCTACGGGGATTGAGCGGAAGTCTAGAAGTGTTGAAATGTTCGGATAATCCTCTTATTCCTCTAGTCTTAGTTATATCGACAAGTCAAATACTACCTCTCCAACTTCTCCCGTTTCAATTGTGGAAACGATATTTGTCAATAATCCCAATGATTCGCATACAATTGTGGGACTTGCTATTTCTCTAGGGATAAGTATTTTCGGATGGATAGTGTTGGGTTCATTTTTTTGTTTTAAGAGAAGACAAACTATATTGAAGATACCAAGTAGTTAATGATAACAAATTAATTGTCTCTATCTTCTTCGTTATTTCTGTATAATGACATTAATGTAATAACTCATAATACGATATTTTTAAAAAATTCTCTCATAACGAGTAAAATATTTTATTTAATACGGAAAGTTAAAAAGATTTTTTAAAAAAAAAGTGGGGAATATTATATTATAAATCACATGAAAAATTTATTAAGTGAAATTTATTAATACATTGTTACACTAAACTTGTTTTGATGGAAGAACGAAACCGGATTTAGACGGGCATGAATTATTGATTGAATCTATTAAACAGTGATCGATCGACGGTTTTGATCGAGTAATAAGATTTTAATAATGAATTAAATTAAATTTTGAAATGGAAGTAGAAAATAATTCTCCATTACAAAGAATGAAATTTTTTTTTTCCAAATAACTTTTCTCCCAAGTACAAAAAGTTTCTGTTCCTTTCGATGAATCCCAACTCCCAAGATTTTTTTTGAATTAGGATTCTCATCAGTAAAATAGAGTAAAGGACGAACATTTTTTTTCTTTGCTTTAATGATTGTTTATTTTACTTGATTCCATGGCGGTTTAACACAATCCATTTAATGAAGTTGGCTTGATTCACTTTACAATTTTATTGATCTCTAGAATTAACTATAATTAAACTATGAATGAAAAAAAAAAGGTCTTGAGAAAAATAAAAAATAATAACCATAATCCTAAATAATCTTATTCGTCTTCAACTTTTAATTCATACTTTTCTTTTTGTCTTGCTAGATATCTTGCTTTAGCATCAGAAATTGATTGTTCATCCTTTTTTCTGGTCAATTTCTTTGCTAATTCTTCATTTTTCTTTCTTTCCTCCTCTTCTTCCTTTCTTCGAGCTTCTAATATCTGTGTTTCCATTTCACGACTTTGTTTTTCACGTCTACGCATTTCTTCATATTTTGATTTGTCACCACCTCTTCTATTATCATGAGATCTATAATCTTTTGAATCATAATAATCTTTTGAAGACCACTTCGAAGAACCAACAGTCTTCTTCTTTTTGGATATATTTAATCCCGCCGATAATAATTGTCGCTTATCCACGATTTGATCATCATCATTTAATATTACAATTTTACCAGATGCGCGAGCTTCCTCTGCAAGCTCTTTATCTGTTTTTTGCGGTTTATTGTTATCTTGTTCTTCAGATAATGTCCTTTTTTTATTAGATGATAATGCTAATCTACTTGCTTCGATTGCTGCTGTTTTCGCTGAACTAGTTTGATCCAATAAATTACGATAAAATTTGGACATATCTTTTGGCCCATTTTCTTCCTCTTTATTTGTTTTCCAAAAATAAAAATAAAAATAAAACATAAGCATTTTGAATTTATGATAATGTGGATGCCGCATGTAGTTTACTTGCCTCGTTTTTTCTCCTCTTCTTCAGCTTTTCTTAATTCCTCTTGTTGTATTTTATATCTATGATGTATATATAAAATTATTAAAAATCTTTTAAATCACAAAAAAAAAAAATAGATATATATATTTAATGTACTATTACATACGCTGAAGTGACAAATGATTCCTTATCATTAAATTCCTCTCCTTCCGCTTCTCGTTCTTTTTGTATTTTACGTTCTTGAGCTTGAATATAATCTCTTTTACGTATTTCTGCAGCTTTTAATAAATCATTTACATATTTCGGCTACGAATCGCATTACGTATTGCATTAGTACCACTTCCTTCCTTCTTCAAGTTCTTAAACCCAAAAATGGTTTGAAGTTTACCTTTTTAGAAGCGCTACTTTCAATACCTTTAAAATCTCGTATTGCCTTCCTTTCGGCATCTTTCATATCATCATACACTTCATCATAAGAAAATACTGTGGGATCTTCCTCTAAAGCTGCTTTATGCTGTTCTTGCACCAATTTACTTAGGGAATTATCTTTTTTTATTAAGGTTTTATTAACATTCTTCGTTGAGGAAGAAAGTATCTTTTTGGAAGGCTGTTCGGTAAG